CACACACACACACACACACACACACACACACACACACACACACACACGCTGTGATTGAGTCATCACCAGGCAAGGAAGTGAGTGGGAGTGATGGGAGGGAACTCCGTGGGAATTCCCTTGCAATCAGCAATTTACTTGCAGTCTCTGAATAGAAAAGAATGAAAGGTAGACCATGACCGCTGCTTTGAGGATATCCATCTTACATAACAAGTATTTGAGGGTTAAGGTAAACGGTGACCAGATGACAAAAATATTAGCTGACCTTCGAATAAAGAATTCCTTAAATAAACAAACTATCAAAGAGGAAACACGAAAAATACCCCATATCTGATCAAACTACCAGCATGATGCCGATTAAACTGAATTTCAACCCCCGAGACGAAATGAAGGAGACCAGAAGTCAGACCACGTTGTTACCCAAATTGAAAAGGTGTATCATTTAAAATATGGTGGCCCATTGAGAACATATACAAGAAGTCGACTTAGTCACCGTGACGTCATTGGCTGGTGGACACTGTTTTGAAGCCTCATGGTCTGCATTTTGGCCGTCGCCATCTTGGCTTTTTGCAACCAGAAACGATACGAGAGGTTGGAGCTAATTACAAGCGAACGCTGAATAAGACATTTAAGGCGACCAAAAATCTTACAATTAACTTGATGAACTTAAAACGTACTGGGTTGAAGTTCTCAGAAGAAAACCTCAAAAAATCCCAGCGCGGAGAACACCGTGGTAGCGACCAGCCACTCACAAGGTAGATTCCTGGCAGCAAATTCTTACTGAATATTGGCTGATAACAAACTTTATTTCACATTATGATGGTTAGACTGTGTAATTAATCCACAGTTCACATGCGTGCCGAACCGTGAGGGGGACCGTTACACCACTATACACCAGCGTTGGCACATTAGCATTCATGTTAGAACATCTGTCTCTTACGCTGCTAGATGCTCGACTAACTTCACCAGCTAGTCGCTTTAACTAACTCGATGTAAACCAGGTTAAAGAGAGCTCCAACGTGCTTAGAGATGTTAAAATGCTCCATAGAGCAGAAGGGAACTGCAGAGCTTGGTGTTAGTTATCAGTGGGTTGGTCACTACAAGCGAACCCCGTTTACATTTAAACATCGTCATTTAATCTACTGTTAATATAAAATATTGATTTTAGCAGCTTTATGTATTAAAGACTAACTGAATGATGAACAAAATGATAATACATAATCAGTTTCCTTTCATATCTTTCTGATGAATCAAACTAAAACAAAGTGACATTAATGACCACAAGCACACGGACGCTGGTGCAGAAACACACATGCTGACCTGCAGTTCCTCTGAACAGCAATCCATTGAGCAGGAAACGGGACCTCAGAGATGGGCTGATCTTTTTCTGCGCCTGGGGAACAGCGACTCGGTCCATTTAAAGATCTGCTTCTCTGTAGGGACCTCCGACTGTAGAGAGGGTTACTAAAACGTCTGGGGATCAAAACTGTTCTGCTCCACACACACATGGTTAATCTACTCCGAGGGCAATCAGAGACGGTGTATAAAAATGTTAATACGTGTCTTTCTCTCTTTCAGCTGTGCTGTTCTGGTGCCTGCTGGACATTGTGCCAATTAAGAATGAGAAGGGAGACGTGGTGCTCTTTCTGGCTTCATTTAAGGACATCACTGACACTAAAGTCAAAGCCATCCACGAGGACAAGAAGGAAGGTCAGTATGAGTATGCATGTCTTGTGGAAGATGGGTTGTTATTGTTGTTGAATGGATTCTAATGGTTCCACTCACTATACGAAGCTCTAAAATGTTTACTCTTTGTTTTTAGTATGTGGATTTGAGTTATTGAGGCCACTGCTAAGTGCTACAAGTGCGTACCATTTTTTATCCATCAGACCAAATTGCTAGTGTAGTGCCGGCTATTTCGGACAAAAACAATCCTAAGTGTCCATACAAAGTCTGTTGCAACAGTGTTTGCAACCGGGTTTTGTGAGACTGTGGTGGGTAGACCCATGGGGAAAAGAAATGAAAAGGCTAGATCTATATGATGAATACATTAAAGCATCAATAATCATAATACAGTGATACAGGCTTACCGTACATATATGTGATAAGGGCCATTTTAATTAGTATACTCTTACTTTTGGCATTTTAAGTATATTTTGATGCTAATACCTTTTGTACTTTAACTTAAGAAATGTTCTGAAAAAAAAAATACATCCTGTCTCCTGAAATGTTCTTTATTTAACTAGGAGCACAATTTCCCCCTAACATTGACCAAAGTGCTCGGAGTGCCTCAACATAACATAAAACATAAAAAACATGAACATACTTGAGCTGCTATGTGTGGATGTTGTATTGAAAAAGCAGATATCGTAAGAAAACATGAAATAGTGAATATTTCCCATAATGTTCCGTAGTAATATTTTGTGACATGATGTTTAAAAAGTTATTCAGGTTGCATTAAATGTCTTTCAAAATGTAGCTGCAGTTGGAACGTATACAAACATAATTATTATGAGACAGGGTTGCTTAAAATGCACAGCCGGATGAGCCAAAATCGCTAGATTACAGTATAAAGACACATCTTTGTATTGTATCCTTCCTTCCAGGATTTTAATCATTTTCATCATTGTTAATACAAAGCAAAGTTGCAAATTCTGCCCTCAAAATCGATTTCCTCAAAAGGTTTAGCTTAAGGGCAACACCTAAGCTCAAGCCAAAAACCTCCTACAAAGCAAAAGGGAAGGTCAATGTGTGCGCATGTGTGGGTGCGTCTGTGGAGTCAGCAACCCTGACTTTACTCATCTGCCTCCCCTTGATTTGCCTAATTACTCTCATTACTGTAAATAAAGGAGAACAGGAAGCAGAAAGTTATTTTCGCCCCCATAATGAATAGAAAAGGGAAGAGGCTGATGCAGCATGCCTTTAGACAGAGAATAATGGCTTTGAGTCGGACAAGCTAGGAAATGAAAATATGCTTTTAAATCTCACAAAACATTTACATTTTCATGCCTTGGCTTGTATAACGCCAAAGTTACAAAGTGCGTAGAGAAGAATTATATAAATGATGAATGGACAGATATAAACTCATTAAAGTTGTTTAGAAAGAGAAACATGAAGAACCTGGAGGTAAACAGACACTATGGCATCAGTGGGGCGTTTCCATCTGTACTGGGGAAGCCTTTCAAGGACGGACAGACACCTCGGATGCGACCCAGTTATAGTGTGGACAGTGTGTGCATAAGGGAGAAACCCAGTCTCCTCTCTTTTCACCCCGTCTCCTCTCCTCACCTTCTCTTCCTTTCCTCACCCGCTCACTCTCTCTCCATCACCTCTGTTTCTCCTCTACAGCTGCTTTTACACTACATTCCCACCTCCTCTGTTTGCCCTGCACGCCTGCATAAGCCCCTCCCCACCTACACCCCCCTCCTCTACCCCTACAAGAAGGGCTATAGAAGTGTAGGGAAATTCATTAGTTCTAAAAATAAGCACATCTCTGTCTCTGTGCTCCTGCCGTGCCGCGTCCCCCAAGGCCGCACCGCGTTATGGATGGGCCCTGTCTGGGGTCCGCGCGCACACTTTCCAAAAGGACACTCAAACACAGTTATCACTTCTTTTCTCCAGCTTTGTTATTGCCGTTATCCCCCTCAAGCCAATCTGGCCTCAGTCCTTTCCTGTGGGTTCAGAATGGGGCCCAGAACCCAGCAGCAATAAAGTGCCTTATCCCATTACCCATCTGCTCAGTTTGAACACTTCACTCCTACACCATCCACTTTTTTATCTACTACAATACACTTGGAAGAAATACACACGCAAGCCCACAAGCAAGCGCACACACACAAAGCCACCCGAGTGGCAATCAACCACAGAGAATCTACCACAATACACTTAAGTGCCTCTCTGCCCCAGTAGCGACTTATCAAAGCTGAAAATTGCACTGTTTAGCTGGAGATCGTGTTTTTACACAATAACCAATATTTATGGCTGAATAATGTAAATCACAACAGGTAACAGATGTTCTTTGACAATTACGAAAAGAAAATTCACTCAGGAATTGTTCAATTTGCTGAGAAATGACACATTTGTCCTGTTTCATATTCATGTTTTCTCATTCAGGGCGGGATATTGTGTATTTCATCCACCATAACTCCTGATTCAGTCATCAGGAGTTAACATTGGGGGGTAAAGTATTGTCGTAGGGGGGGGGATGTGCACTAACGTTTGTGTATTTGTGTGTGTTTACAGAGCGACGGCGCGGCAGGGTGAAAACAGGTTCTCACTTCAGCTCGGCTCGTCTGCGGAGTAGTACGGTGCTCTACCACATCTCTGGTCACCTCCACAGCAGAGAGAAGAGCAAGATCAAACTCAACAAGGTATCATCGGTCTCTTCAAACAACAGGGCAAGACTTAACAGGGTGAAAGATCACTCAAGCGTGGTCGTGGGTGGACTGTAACATAGGAAATGAGAAGCTCAATGCTGCTATTTGAAGCACAATGGACACAATCAAAGGACTAAAGGGCAAAACTTGATAAATATTGTGTCTGCAGGTGGAGACGGTCTCTTAAGTCGCACTGACTGATGCTCTTCATCACAATTACATTAAATGAGCAAGAACAGCAATTGTTTGTAGCATCAATTTAAGCAAACCAAACCAAAGATCTTTGCGACCAGAAGAAAAAAAGATATTCATTATGATACAGTCCAAATGTCTGAAACAAAAGTCATGATTTAAGACATTATAGGTCCAGCTAGCATTACTGTGATGTCTCTGGCTCTCACTCACCTTAGGTGAAATGCATCCTTTCTCATGTTTGGAGCCAGAAGTTTAAATGATTATTGGCCACTTGGGGGCGGCACAACAAGCTTTAAACACAACATATTATCATATTGTAAATTAGTATGACAAACGTGTTTTACCTATTGTTGCTGGAAGAAGACACAAAGCAACTTTAGCAGTGAGTCAGAGTCCTGACAAATGAGAAAAGTCTTTCGACCACTACAAAAGCGTTGCCACCTGCCCACCAGGATCTAAACTAATGCACATTCACTCACACTCACACACACACCAATGGCACAGCCTTCAGGAGCAATTTGGGGTTAAAGGACACTTCGACATTCGGTGTGAAGGAGCCGGGGATCAAACCATCGAGGTTGTGATTAGAGGACGACCCGCTCTTCGTCCAGCTCATGAATTTATATTCGCTCTCCTTTAGCCCTGTTTTGGTGTTCACCTACTGCTGAGGCAATCACCTGGCTGTTAAGCTGCCTAATGCTCCATTACAGCGTGTTCACTCGTTAGTCGCTAACTATGTCAGCCGGTTGATGCTAAGCATGTAGCATAAGGTACTTAACCTTTTCACTCAAAACAGCTGCTTTCTGCAGCTAGAGACAAGGCTGACGAGAGCCGAGAGTGTGTTTAAAAAAGTAAAGTCCCAGACAAATAGCATGAGCTTAAATAGCTTGTAGTTAGTTCTTTTTTGTGATTGAGGTGCTTAATTTTATATTTAGTAATTTATTCAACTAATATTGTTGAATATCAGTTAGTTAATAGCTACATTGCAGTTAAACATCATTTGAGTCCATGTCTTTGAACTGCAATTAAACACAACTCAACCACAAGTTTAACCAGCTAATTAAAAAAAAGCAGTTAGCAGTTCTTAATTATGTTATGAATGTAGCCCGTGGAATTAGATGCCACACTTATTATTATTATTATTATAGATTCAGGTTCTTGGATTCAAATAAAAAACAAAATGCCCAAAACTTCAGGACGGGAATCCCGTAAGTGCCTAAATCAAACCATGTCGTCAGTTAACGTTTTATACGTATTTGTACTGGAATGCATCACAAGAAATGTGTGTTTTTTTACCTTCTACTTTCACAGAACCGTCCACAGTGAGACTGTGACGGCCTCTTAATTACGATCTGCTTTACTTTTACCTGGATTTAAATAATATTTCACTCAGAAGAAAACGAGAAAGAACACTTTGAGAAGTATGCTAAGTGGAAAACTACATCTGAATAGATTTACCACCTGGTTACATAAAGAAAGCTGGTTTTATGTGTTTTAAATTATATTTCTTGTCTACTGGCCTTATCTTGGTTTATCCTTGGGTGGCTCCACGATGGGGTGGGACCACCAAAACAAAGTAAGTGGAGGTAACTTTTTGCTACTTTATCTGTGTTCTTATCCTGTCCTGTCCAGAATGTGTTTGGGGATCCGCCTGCTCTGCCAGAGTACAAGGTAGCAGATGCCAAGAAATCGAAATTCATCTTACTCCACTACAGCACGTTCAAAGCTGGTTGGGATTGGCTGATTCTACTCGCCACCTTCTACGTGGCTGTGACGGTGCCCTACAATGTGTGCTTCATCGGCGATGATGACGACCTGACCCGCAGCACAACTGTCAGTGACATCGCAGTGGAGATACTGTTCATCATAGGTCAGTTTCACAATTGGAGACCTGAGAATCATAAACTAGCTCAATCTAATTTAAGTGCAATTATAGAGGAATAACAACCAGAATGTACAATAACCAAACCCCCACCCCCATTTGTCTTTCCTGCCAGACATTGTTTGTAATTTTCGCACCAGTTATGTCAGCAAATCGGGCCAGGTGATCTTTGACGCTCGGCAGATCTGCATCCATTACCTGACCACATGGTTCGTCATCGACCTGGTGGCCGCGTTGCCCTTTGACCTGCTCTATGCCTTCAAAGTCAGCGTGGTGAGTAACAATTGGCTTGGTGCTTAACCCCCAATGTTTAGAACATAATCAGTCGGCTACTGTACATTCACGTTATAAAGTGCAACACCTCCAGCACATTTGACATTTCATGAGAATAGATTGCATGGACTGTTTCCAGCGCTGCTCGAGCGCCTCTTTGATTCTGCGTATTGATTCCACAAACTGTACAAGGGCTGAGAAAGCAATCAAACCTGTATCGTTAAAACCTTTTTTTCTTCTCTGGTTGACTACATGGGCCCCTTAAGAGTTCTTGAATGTTGGAAGAAACGGAGATCTGGAGCAATTAGGTAGACGTTCTTGTCTTGTCTGTGGTTGAATGATATCACCCACTGCACAGTCAGGGGGCTTTGATGGGTTGCTTATGGAAGTTTTTGCTTTCCAGCCTCTAATGTAGGAAAATAGAGGCTGTTTCCACTCACTCAATCACTGTAATGCAGACCTTCGCTCCAGGCGAAGGTGCCTGCATTACATTACATTAGCGACTGGGCCACAAGTTCCCCTGCCGCCGCCAGGCAGAGCGCCAGTGGCCAGCAGTTGCTGAGCGTTCTGCGTGATGTCCTCTCTCAGGACGGAGCATTTAGACTGATGTCCCCTTTGAGGACAGAAGCCATCTTTCACGAAAATAAGCCAAGGGGCCTCGGCGCTGTCCCTCCCTGGTGTTTTGTTTTTGTCGTATCTCTGTCATCTTTGCTTTTTTCCACACATTTCCTTTTTCATATTTTCCTATTTCCCAGATAATCCCCTCACCTGACCGTCAGGTTTCTTCCTTTTTTTTGTGTGAGCAGCCGCACATTTTGAAGTGTCTCACAAAAAAATAGTGAAAGGACCATTTGAATAAAATCATCCCTTTGACAATAAATAAATAAAAAAGTAAATATTTGATATTTTTAATCAAATTAATATGTATCTGCTTGTTTTTTGTTGAGGTAGTTTACGGGTGCTAAAGTAGTATTTTAAGGAACAACGTTGCTATTAAACAAAACTAAATAGGATGGAAATGCAGGAAGTGTCGTGGTTGAGGTTGTCCTGCTCCCGAAATTCTGCAAGGTAGAGCTTCAATTGGAGAACAGTGTTATGAATGCCTATTGGCCCAATGCTACTGCATCAATGAATTAAATTAAAATAAATATGATCAGTCACATTGCTCTGATTGGCTTGTAGCGAGGCTGCAGGGGCAGAAATAATGAGTAATTCTGTTAAGTCTTGTGCATTCAAATTAAAAAGCAGAGGCAAAGTATGTCAATCAAGTAGCGAAATGTAAAGTTCACACCTGATGAGAAGATGAAATGCAAATGTGAGTGGCAGGGGTGAGATAGAAGTGGGAGGGGGAAAAAGTTGAAGGAGAAAGTAGCAGGCGGCGTATGTATTGCTGGGTGGATTGCTTACTGCTCGTGCTGTTGGAGGAGAATGGGACGTGGTGCAGCCTGCTCTCTCCATAGGTGTTGATAGATGGTGGAGAGGAGATGGAGCTTCTCCCCAGGGCTCAGCAGGAGGCTTCATTACCCCTCGAGCTGCACCAGTTCTCTATTTCTCACAGCCAGAGTGTGGAAAACCCACCAGAAAACATACTGGAAACACAGACACAACCTCTGATCAGGACTGTTCTCACATCTCCTCCTCTTAGCTTTGTTTAAACGCGCTGATTGTGTAATTCTCTTTCTCACACACACATTTCCACTCTCCTCTTTTGCCATCCTTACTTTGTTGCCCATGTCTAACTTCCCTGTCTAGTTATTATAGTTATTACATTATATATTCCTTTTCCGTAGAATATCCGCCCCACTTTTTCAGTCTCCACCTGTCCCCAGTCACCACCCCTACACACACACACACTACACAAATACACACGCGACATACATCCGTGTGAGTATATATGTGTATCTCCGATGGGAATACACGATGGCAAGCCCCAAATGATAGACTGTCAGTGGAGATAGCCTGAGGAGCAGGTGCACAATAGATGACCTTCACGTCACATCTACAGTGGGAAAGGAGTAAAAGGGAACTTTGAGGGAACATTGTGTGCGTAAGTCAGTCGAGGGAAGTTGTTTGAGTGAGCAAAGACAGAAGATGAAGGAGGCACGAGTAGAGAAATACTGTACGGTGATGGTAAGCATTGGAGATGAACAATTTTTTTTAAACCACACCTTTGAGCAATGCCTGATTGCTCTAATTGGTCGTTTTATAATCAAGGACTCCTGCATCAGAAAATCTTCAAAAAGATCATAATGTTGATGTATTTGCAAGCATTTGTCGAGGTCTAATTATAGAATATGAGAGAATATGAGCAGCCGCTAATGTTGGAGAGGACATGAAGCATGGTTAAGAGCTTTTCACCACTTCAGGCAGTGTTATTAGCGTGTGTGTGTGCTGGTTTATCACTCTTCCCCTGAGATTAACTGTCTGTAAAACAAGGAGACGATCGGCGCCTGCTCCTCACTTTCACAGTTTCTGTTTCTCTCTCTTCATATCTGCGTGTCTCGCTGACTTTGCCCTCAGCAGAACACCTTCAAATCTCAAGAAATGAAAAGGGAGTTATGTAGTTGTGATACTGAATCACTGCTTTGCAAGGAATACTAACCATGTTGCCCTCAGGAGCTATAGTTGTGGAGAGGGAGGTGAAGACAATGCTTTGTTTTAGTGGCACCTTCAATGTACGCCTCACAAATGATACCCGTGTATATGATAACATCCTTAGAATAAATTCACCCTGGGTCCTTGTTCTTTATCACCAGGTGTCAGTGGTCCACCTGTTAAAAACAGTCCGTCTGCTCCGTTTGCTGCGGCTGCTCCAGAAGATGGACCGCTACTCGCAGCACAGCACAGTGGTCCTGACGCTGCTGATGTCCATGTTCGCCCTGCTGGCCCACTGGATGGCCTGCATCTGGTACATTATCGGCAAGATGGAGATAGAGGCCAACGCCTACAACTGGGATATCGGTGAGTGAAGGAAAAATAATCCCCAGAAGTAAAAAAACACCTCCAAGTTCAGTTGTTGATCCATTCAATCACAAGATCCATTCTTCCATTACCACTGTTAAGCACCATACCAAAACCAGGAAGTGTATCTCCAGGATCTTAGAGTAGTGTTAGTGATTAGTGTTGCTGCAGAATGCGTCTTTGGTGAAGTGGACAACTCTAAGAATGGCTTTAGAAGGTATCTCGAGTGACCGCTTGTGATCAGATGTCACTTCCCTGCTGCAAATACACGCATACATCATTACGCGTGACAAAATGCATTGTTGTTTTTAACTGGCGGGAGGCTGCAATGCACTTCCCGTGTCTAGTCTGCAGGAAATTAAAAGAAGAAGAAGAAATCAAAACAATACAGACCGGCTCTAATTCTTAGCGTGTTCCAGGCAAACCAAACCACGCAAGATGTTTTACGCACTCCACGGGCTTTACAAAAATGTTGCACGTAGCGAGAAAGCCATCTTACACAATTTGATACGCACGTATGAGTACGTACTTCTGCTTACGCAAAGGACGTCAGTTCAACGTGGCACTGGACACGTTCACATACAGACTGCGAAAAGGATGTGGCCATACGTGGTTAAGACCACCTCCGAATGTGGTCTGAGGCATCGGATCTCAATGTGTCCACAATGCGTCTGGGGTTCATTCACATTTGCGATTGGATCGCCTAAGACGCATGTTAATAAATTCCTCAGACCCGCAGCAAGACTGGCAGTTTCTTTAAGGTATCTTAAATGGGCACTCAAAGCATGACATGCATACGGCTGTGCTCTTGATACACATGTATTTGTCTGTGGTTTTGTTTTACTTTATGCGTGCAGTAATGAAGCCAGATAATGTGGTTTCCTTTCATCTCCATTGTTCTATCCGAGGGATCTGTCATCCAGCGAACGCGCTCTGTATTGCATTTTATGAGCAATAATCTATGGAATAAATGACTCATGGCTTGAGGCTCAGAATAAAGGCTTTAAAGAGGAAATGTTTTTTATTGATCTTCTGGCATCAATAAAAGAATGCCAATTTGTTTTACATTTGTTAGCACATAAATCTCGCATGTATTCCATGTAAGAGAGACCCTTCCTTTTTCTACTCCTTGCATTTATGTGTGTTCCAATTTAATTTCTGCTTCATGTACTTCATGTGTTGGGCTCGTTGACACGTCAATACTCTGGTGAAGTTTCATAGCTCATTATTCCCAAAACAACAATGGTTCTGAAAAGCTATCAAAGCTTAAAACCTGCAGTTCTATTTTTTTTTTATCAAGGTAGATGTTTATGTACATGTTTCTGTTTCTGAAGATACACTGTAGTAATACGATAAGCCTCGTAGCAATCGACTTGACCCCAAATATTGTATTGAGAGGTCCCTGCTAATAACTATGTTGTTGAATCATCGTGCCTCATCAGGTTGATTGGGTGTTTGTCTTGGTTCCTCAATATTTCAGCTAACTGCTAAATTAAGATTTCCTCATCGATTTTATTGATTCCTTAAGTCTGTTGTAAAATCCGTATTGGATGGAAAATATAACAGCAACAATTACATCAGCTGTGTGTGTGTGTGCCCTTCCATGCAGGTGCTTGTGTGTGTTGTAAAATTGACTGAGCGTAATTCCCCCTCAGCATCCAGGTCCCTCGTATAATGAGGCACCCTGAGATCTCTGGTCAGTATCGATGAGCTGCGCTGCTTGCAATTACCTCGCCCCAATGTCTTCATAACTGTTTCCGGGTCAGCATTGACTGGGTCATGAGAACCATGCCGATTTTTCTCCACCAATTACTGCATTTCTGTGTCATAAAATAACAGGTCAGTGCATGAGGCAGGATTAATGTGTTGTATCCTAATTATGCATTTCTGATGCTGAACTGAGCGTTGAAGTCAGGCAGCTATGAGGGAATTCCATCCAATTACCATTCGTCAGTGTCTGCAGGAGACTCTCCTGGGATCAGCTGCTTGTCCGCACACCGCGCTGACCAGGGATCAGTTTTGGTTCCCAAGCATCTGATCTGCTTCCACTGTTAAGTGCGTCGTTCTAGATGTAGCACGGAGGAAAGCACTGCTCACCACAACTTCCTGGAAACAATGCTGTTAGCTTTGTCTGCATCTGTATGCTTCACTGCACTGCGCTTTGAGATGAACACTGCAGCTCATTGTAAAAAAAAAAACTAATTACATGGTGCACTTATAGTGATAGCATGGAGACCTTCAGGAATGCTAGAAGATTGGAAACTTTGCAAGATGGAAGGTTTTGTAATAAGGCACCTTTTGATTCTTTACAATTACTATAGATTCTGCTCAGAACAGATACGTTGTCCTTATATTCTCGCAAGTTTGCCTCTTAATGACCATACTCTTGTGATCATGTTACTGTAAAACACAATGAGAGTGCATTAGATACCAGCTATAACCATCCATCTCTCCTTCTATCCTTCACTGTCCCCATTTAAATACAGGATGGCTCCATGAGCTGGGGAAGCGCCTGGAGTCGCCGTACTATGCCATAGGAGCCGTGAACGGGACCGGCAGCGGCCCCGCCATCCGCAGCGTCTACATCGCCTCCCTCTACTTCACCCTCAGCAGTCTGACCAGCGTGGGCTTCGGCAACGTGTCGGCCAACACTGACATCGAAAAGATCTTCTCTATTTGCGTCATGCTCATAGGAGGTACACAGAATGCACACATCAGCATTCACGTGCATGTTGTGTTTTCTATAAATCAAATTTGTTTTTTAAGGTCACATTACTTTTGGGTCCACAGTGATTTTACAGCATATACAATCATACCGTATAATTATATTTACATCTACATGCTAATCCATGATGTCTTGGTTTAATGATTCAATAGTAATATGGACACAATCCGATTCCAATAAGACATGTAGACATTTTTTTTTCTTCCAGTGGCAAGTATTAAACAGACCTTTGCAAGATGGTCGGATCCAGCTAAAACTGGATCGTTACTGTAAGTTTAGATTTTGGGGATAAATAGAGGTTGCCGTGGCGGGGGTTTTCCCTGTGGATGCTCCCCACACTGGTTCGGCTAAAAAGTTAAATGTCTCTGGCTGCCTGGGGGCAGTAGAAGTCACAGATGCAGACCACACACACACACACACACACACACACACACACACACACGCACACACACATCCCGTCCCTGTGTGTTCACGCAAAATGAAAACCAACACAAAACACCAGCAGAGGATAGGTCAAACCCAATGGGTTTGTAGAAGGAATTTAGTAACTGTATGCCTAAAGAGGATCAATGGCACATGTCAGAAAAAGGAGTTAGTGACACCACAGTGACACTTGACATGTAGTCTGTGTTCAGATGTGTGCAATGTACCTGCGACGCAGCTGGAAACTGAATGAGATTAGGAGAATACATTATCTAAAGGCGTCTAAAAGGCAGGTATCTGTCATACCAATTAAATCAGCTCCGCTCAGTCCCAACACTGATGTTCCCGTCTGGGAGGTTGCAGGACATGAATGTAAATACAATTTTCAGCTGGTTGACTGGTTTGTCTGGTTATTTCCCAAACATGGACAAGTCTGCTGTCAGTAGATCGGCGCATTTTATAAATAAAGAGAAAACTGTGGTGTCGGACAAATTGCTGGCAAATGCAGGAAGGACAGCAGGCAGAAAATCGCCGTCTGTGTGAATACGTAACTTAACAGATCTTTAATATCACTGCTTCATATAGAGCACGATAGATCTGATCATAATTACATGTGTGTATTCTGTTAAGTTGATATGTTGCTTGGATGCATTCTTATTCCTTCAGCTGCACTCTGGCGGTGTGACTTGTGAGCAAGTAAAAAAGTAAATATAAAAACATAATTCAAAGCAGTAAGAAGGTTTACTTCCATACTTTATAATCTCCCACAGCATACATTACAGTAACCGGAGCAAAGTAACGCTGCATCCAGTTTGTTTCTGTAAGACACGACTACAACATGTCCCACTGCAACGCATATTCATTTTTCATCTCCGTACCGAGCTTTGATTGGTCAGTAGGCGGTGCTTTTATACGAGTTATCTCCAACATAACCTGCTCCGGAGCAGGTTCCATGTAACCATGCTAATCTATCCAGGTCAGAAGTGAACCTCCATCGTGGAACTGAAAATTATCTCTCCCCTGTCTAACTCTCCCTTCATCCATTTCCTGTCCTCTCCTTCTACACCTGCAGCACTGATGCACGCATTGGTCTTTGGTAATGTGACAGCCATTATCCAGAGGATGTACTCACGGTGGTCCCAGTACCACACCAGAACCAAAGACCTCAAGGACTTTATACGTGTCCATCACCTGCCGCAGAGCGTCAAGCAGCGAATGTTGGAGTATTTTCAGACCACCTGGTCGGTCAACAACGGCATCGACTGTAATGAGGTACCACACGCACACATATACACACTTACATCAGTATAAATCCTCACCCTCCCTTTTCTGTTAACTCCTGTTTTTGCCAGCATACAGGGATCAATAATTCATCTGAAAGATCACATACTTCTCAATCCTCATCATCCACATTCAAACCCATCATACAAGTGATAATATGATCAATACTACATGATCCTCATCAATGTAAGAGCATCAATCTTTCCCTCAGCACTGACTGACAAGGAGGGGACAGAAGACAAGAACAGAAAACGGTCTTACATGGTCATTTGTGGATGACAGGATATTTTGTAACCTGGGGGTTGAAATCCTTGAAGAGGTTTATTTCTAGGTTGCTTGTAGTTGAAGTCACACTTGAGTGCAACGTACGATGAATGTATGGAAATTGGAGATGTGTGGGGATCTAGGTGACATGATTCCAGGACCATGCATGTCAATACACATGAAACTGGGACAACAGGACATGGCACTGAACAACATAAACAACATTATGGCATGAGGACAGCTCAGAGAATAGACGAACAGAAAAGGAGGGGGAACAACACCATTTCTTGACAAACCGAGGGAAAAGGAGGCAACCAGTTAGTAGTCTAATAGCAGCTCATCCCTCCAGGCTGTGAATGCCTGCGAGACAGCTGTCAGAGCCCAGACCAGCGCTGAGATGGAGTGAAGATGATGAATCCCAGACAGATGAATTATAGATGAGCCTGTTGATTAAAGTCAGCCCGGCTCTGATGACTCATTGATCGACTCTATATGACGGTGAGCTCCAGATCTTAGTCCCGCCAAAGAGACGTACAGACTGGTGATATTCAATGATTTGACTTGTCTTTTTTTAACTGTGAGACGGGCCTTTTCAGATCGTATTTGTGTGTTGCTTGTGTAGCAACTTTGTATTTGTGTTGATTTATACAGCAGCATATTAGAAATATTCGTGATTCAGTATCTTTTAACAGACATGCCTATTCTGAGCTAATATCAAGGTGTTAGGCTCTAACGAGTTCTTAAATGTATTGCATCTTTACGATAGCACATAAAAAACCAATCGTGTTGGTTTTGTTTACAACAATGTCCTGGAAGAGGGAGGTTTTTAAATTTTGTAGGAAGTTTTTTCTCACTATCTTAGGGTCTAAGAAAATAAATAGGGTTTTGTGTGTTGTGTAGATTGTAAAAACGCTCTCAGGCAAACAATTGACTTTGGGCTATGTGAATAAACTTGCCTTGACACTAATGTTTCCTGTGGTACAATAGCTTAGGAATCAAATCAAAGGCAACCGAGGCTGGAAATGTAATCACTGAGTTGCAGCATGGCTGTGCTTTCACAGCTGTCGTGCTCGCCACACTCTTGCCTCATTCTCTCTCTCTCTCTCTCTCTCTCTCTCTCTCTCTCTCTTTCTTCCTCCCATCATCTTTACAGCTGCTGAAGGACTTCCCGGACGAGCTGCGATCCGACATCACCATGCACCTTAACAAGGAGATCCTGGAGCTGTCGCTGTTTGCCTCTGCCAGTCGCGGCTGCCTGCGCTCCCTCTCGCTGCACATCAAGACGTCCTTCTGCGCTCCCGGAGAGTACCTCCTCCGACAGGGCGACGCACTCCAGGCCATCTTCTTTGTCTGCTCCGGATCCATGGAGGTTCTGAAAGACGGCATGGTGCTGGCCATCCTGGGTACGATAAAGGAATGTGAGGGGAAGAAGGATTATAGTTTTACAAAGAAACTCTTGGCAGCAAACTTCATATTAAAGCTCTGCGCGGCTTATTGTGATAACGCTGGCAAATGAGCATCATTGTTTAGAACTAGGAGCATCACTATAGCCTAAAGGCTACAGCTAGAGCCTATTGTTATTAAACTCCTGGAAAAGCAACCCTAGATAGATGCAAATTTATTTCAATATTATGTTCTAGCAGCTAGTCAAAGACTTACCTCTGCATGCAAGATGGGGGAGCTGGTTTAATAATTAGGTGAGATGTTGAAAACAGACACAAACATTCAACCCCAGATTGTGTTATATTATATACTATATATATATATATATAAAGTATATATTATGTTATATACAACATTCAGAGCATCCCATGATTGTGCAATCCCATACAGGTTAATCCAGTCCAGTCTATGTCTGGCAGATTATGGTCAAGTCTGTTCTACTGCATTGTAATTCAGTCCTGTCCAGTTCAATCTCTGTTGTCCGGTTCAGTCGAGTCCATTTCATCAGTCCATTTCATCGGAGTCAGGCAATTTCAGTTTCATCTAGTCTAGGCCAGTTCAGTGCTGTCCGGGCCAGTCCATGGTGGGTGAAATCAGTCCTTATAGGCTACTCAAAGCCACCATTGGATGCATTTTTCAGTTGCAGTGTTGAATTAATATTTGATTTGCAAAGGCAGCAGCTAATTACTATTATATCACCTGCCAGCATTGACTTGTTTGCATTTTACAGAAACAGAATAATCCTAAGTGCATTTCAGTGGTGGTATAACCCTGGAATCAGCAATTCCAGATAGCTGTGATTCTAAAATAGAAATGTGCTTCTCATTAATGGAGAAACGAGGTTGTAAAACATTTGCTAAAGCTGCAATTCAGCTCAAACAAAGAAAATATGTTTGGGTGTCTTCAGTCATTATACTATAATAATCATGATGATTAAAAATAAGAGTTGTGCTATTAATGCAGTAGAGGTCATTATGTGAAGTTCTAATGGAAGGAAATTTAATTAGATTGTATGGAAGAAAGGACTGTTGAAAGAAACAACTGACATTTTTTTTTATATACGTATTTATATTTAACTAGATGAAGAAATTGGTCCAGCAGACACTTCGACCACAGCAGATGGACTGCTTAGAATAGATGATAATCTCGTCACTGTGTTTGCAACCAAATGCATATTTGTAATATCAAAAGCTCTTAGGTTAGCATAAAGACTGGAAGCAGTGGCAAACAGCTAGCCTGGCTCTGCCCAGAAGAATCTTTCTAGTACCGTTCTCATCTTCATTAAAAAAACTACTTGGAAAATTGGTTTTGGAACTAATTTAGTGCTGCTCTTCTCACAGAAAATGATCTGTCATCATCACACCCTTCCTTCAATACATCTGCACACATTTCTACCTGGTGGAGAATTTCCTGTTTAAGTTATGCACACACATTGTGTGATAGTCTGAGTATGTAATGAAAAGCCCCATAGCCATCATGCAGGTCTCTTGGTGCTGAATGCATCTGAAACAAGATGCGAACACCTCGCAGTCTAGTTTCCAACCACTCACATCTGCTGTGTAACACAACCTCTTGTAAAGAGTGACCTTAATGGCTTTTGCTATCTGACCTTCATGACACAGAGTTATAGAACAATCCGGCACGGCACAAGCATGTGTGTGTGTGTGTGTCTGAGAGAGTAAGTGAAAGTAAGACAAAGCAAGACATATCTGAATCTGAACCTCCATTCATCACTTTGTCTCTATTGGTGCAGCGCTTAAACTTTTATCTCTGTTTTGTGTGTGTGTGTGTGTGTGTGTACGTGTGTGTACGTGTGTGTGTGTGTGTGTGTGTGTGTGTGTGTGTTGTTTGTTTCTGCTTTCTCTCCTTGCTTATTTCTCCTTTTGCAAAAAAAAGTGTGCATAATATGGCCTGCATGTAGTAGATGGAATTGTTTACTAGTGTAAAGTGTTGTTTGTGTGTGTGTGTGTGTGTGTGTGTAGGCTTGACAGGCAGAGAGCACTGTGTGCTTGCCTGTTGACTGTGCAGGAGGTCAGGTGGCATCAAGTGTCTGACTTAAGGAGAAAAAATCAGCGTTACTCTTTCCTGTGTCCTCTTCTTTGTCACAACACAAGTCTGTAGCCACAGCTCAGAACCTCCTAGTAGAGAGTGTTTGAGAGCTAGAGAGGCCATGTTGAGAGAGAGGGTGAGTAAAAACTGTGGTTGGTGGAGAGAAGAGAGAATGACCGAAGTAGAATCTCTGAAACAAATGAAACAACTGGATTGAAGGTAAAGGGATAGCGTGAAAGAAAGAGGAGGGGCTGCAGGATGAGAGGAACAGATAAGAGAAAAAAAAGGAGAGAGGGAGGAAAGTTGAGAGTGAATTTAAAATACACAAGAGACTTCAGCTGAGTTAAGATGTGGAGGGGAAGGAAAGAAGGGGAGGAAGGCGGGGGCAAATATTTGAGAATGGAATGAAAGAGGAAGAACAAGGAGGAAGAAAAATATGGAAGGAAAACAGGTATGAAGGAAGGAGGGACAGAGGAAAGGAAAGGAAACCCAATGGAGTAAAGAAATATGGGAAACATGGAGGAAGCATAGAAAGAAGTGGAATGGAGGAAGAAAGGAGGAGAAGGAGGACCGGAAAAAGAAGGAACGCAGTGAGCAAAGAAGATATGACGGAAATGTGGACAATGGAAGAAATTAAGGAAGGAAAGAAAAGAAAACCAGAGAAAAGAAGAAGGTAAGGAAGCAAGGAAGAAAAGATAGGAAACAAAATAGAGAAATGAGGAAGGGAGGAAACAGGGATAATAGAAAAAAGGACTGGAGGAAATAACAAAAATATGGAGGAATAAAAAAAGGAACGAAATAGGGGGAAAGACAAGGAAGGAAAGAATGAAATGAAAACAGGCAGAAGGAAAGTAAGAGGACAGAAAACACAGGGAAGGAAGCAAGAAAGTATGAGGATAAAGGAACGTAAACAAGGAAAGAAGCAGCAAAGAAGAGAGAACAGAACGGACGGACAGTATTGAAAGTGAAGCAGATGTGAGGAGGAGAGAGGAATCTAGAAACAGAGGGAGGGAGAGAAGTAATGGTTGAAGCAAGGAATGGACTGAGAGATAGGCGCTAAAGAGAGAGAGAGGGGGAGAGAGAAGGGGGGGGACAGTCACGACTGCTGCTCCATCAGCTTCGGTGAAATTGAACAGCGTTCACGGTTCACAATGACCATAATGAATATTTTATCACTGCTTAAGGGGCATTAACACTAACGTGGTACTTCGTACAGCTTCATTCTGTATGAGAACAGGAAACAGCTGTCAGCACAACTTCATTCACAGACTCAAATTTACTAAAAACAGTAAGAGTGATTATGGTTTTTAAATAATACTGTAAATCGTTATATTCTGTACATTGTACAGTCTACTTAATTCTTAGTTTTAGTTTTTTTGGTGGTATGTAAATTCCCCAACAATACCTAATGAGTTTCATCTCGTTTGCTTCATCAAGTTCTCAATGCGTTCAGATGACCAGTTGTGCTTTTAACATAATCTGACAAGTGTCAGATTGATGGGCAACAGACAGTAGCATTAGTGTAAGAAGTGTAAAGAAAAGCTTCTTGTCAGCTTTATTTTAATGTATTGTGAAAAAAGCTGCAACAAGTTAAAATATAACTTACAGTTGCCTCAGCTACAACTGAACCACAACAGTCTCAGCTGGAAAAAGCATAAAATACAGTGACCTCAAATGATTGTGGAAGGACGGTCTTGATGCCAATTTCATTTCCTCATGTTTTCCTCAGTTGTGACTGTCTGGTCTTAGTGGAAGGAAATAGGCCATGTTACAGTCAGGAGAGCAGGGGAAGCACACAAACAAAAGCAGGCTGACGGGAGCAGTTGAATGATTCAATAAACAAGAGGCTTACAGACTGTGAGTCTAAGATGCACGCAGGTAACGGCACGCAGGTAACAAACAACCAAAATTCCATACAGCAACAACAACAAAGGAACTGGGCTGGTTTAAATAGTGACCAACTGATGGGGAAGTGGGAACAGGAGCAGCAGGTCAGGTGACCGTAGGGCTAACGAGGGACAGGTGAAACTAATCGGGGCGGGGCAGACGATGGAGGCCAGGAAGTGAGGTGATATGAAATTAGAGGCGACAAAATAAAACAGAAAACACTAAATATGAATGAGTGACTTGAAAGTTAAAAAACATAACCCAAAGGCAGGGCAGATTATGGCAGACCCAAGAGAGGAATTGTATCATTTATTGCTTAATAATAAATCTTTTTATTAATACGTTGTTGGTCAGTTTTAATTATTAATATGAACTTGTTTTGGGTAGCCAGGCTGGTGTTAATCCTCTTCTAGCATGACACTTGCTTTGTCTTTGTAGCTTTTTAGTTCATCAATGAATCATTGGACCACTAATTAAATCATATTGACATTTACAACTGCAGACTTGGTGGATTGTAAAAAAAGTAATCCTTTGTTAAAGTCATTTATCATAGCGATGGACTTAAGTGACATACCTGTGGAATTAATATATCTGTTAGTTATGTGTGCAGACATGAGGGCAGGAGGACAGGTGTTTTTCTAATGCCGCAGCATCATGTTGATCCAAACACCTTCACACACTCCAACCTGCACTCTCCCAGAGAAGCTTTTTAATAAATGGAAGATCTGAAACATGTTGCAGAGTCTACATTCGAGAAACTACATCCTCATACCCTTTTACCAGAGAAAAATCTGTATACTGTGACCCCTTACTCTGACCCATGTCCATGTCTCTCTCTCTCTGAGCAGGTAAAGGCGATCTGATCGGGGCGAACCTGTCCTTAGATGACCGAGTGATAAAAACCAACGCGGACGTGAAAGCCCTGACCTACTGTGACCTGCAGTGTGTTAACCTCAGGGGGCTGTACGAGGTGTTGGATCTTTACCCTGAATACTCGCAGCGCTTTGTCCAGGACATCCAACAGGACCTCACATACAATCTGAGGGAGGGACATGAGACCCATGTAAGTACATCCAATAAGTATCGATTCTCCAAGTCGCCAAGTTGCTGCTGTCTCTGAATGGTATCAATACAGTATAACCGAGGTTTACTGTTATTGTTTTTTTGCAGATTCTTTCAAATGAGCAGCTTTGTTAATCACTTGGTTTTCCACTTGATTTCATGTCCCTATGCACCGACAATTATACCGTGTGGAGTGTGGAGTAAATACAAATGCTGTGTTGATTATGCACCGGACTCTCATGAAGAAACACAACAACAACAAAAAAATGTAATTTTATTGTTCACTTTTGTATTCTATTTTGTATTGTATAACTTTTTTCATCAGATTTTTACCATTGTTTTGATAATCTACATAAACTATGATAGTTCCTGATATATTTATTTTTTTGGATTGGAAAAAAAAATGAATGAGCCCTATAAGCCCACCAATGCATGCCAATTTCTCTTTATAATGAATGAAGGTCCTGCAATAATGTGTGAGAATGTGTGTGTGTGTGTGTGTGTGTGTGTGTGTGTGTGTGTGTGTGTGT